AGTCGCCTCTATTCTTTGCTGGTTTCGTTTCCCTGCCAATGAACAAGGTTTTGTACATTTGTCATCTCTACACTTTTTCCCAAAACGTCTATGATACCAGCAAACAGAATAATCTCTCCTTTTGGAATTGCTTCTTTCCTTATTGCGATCTCCGCGATTTGGCGAGCGACCACGAGAAAGAGAAATGCGATCAATACGTTTGTTTAATTTTTCTATTTGTTTAAATAATTTATCCTCAAGAGACTGATCGACTGTGCGAGAAACGGCACAAGTCCCTGGGGTTGGATTTACTTCTAAAATTCTGTCGGCAATTTCTGCAGCTTTATCTACAGTTAAAATTGGAAACCGCTGCCAAAATAGACTGAACAAGTCGAAGGGCAAAACGTTTGAAGGAATAATTCTAACATTAAGTTATCAGGGAACATTTAAAGATTCTGCTCGACGTTTCATATTTCTAAGCAAATCGGAAAGTTTTCGAGAACCTAATTCTTCTCCAGATAATAATTGGCGAATTTCTTGCTGAGAAGATTCTCCTGAACGATTTATTAACTCAGTTTTAAGCTTTGCATATGGATCAATAGGGTCTGGTTTCATAAGTAAATCCCGTACTAGTGATGCGATATCTGGAGGAAGATGAGAAACTACATAATTATATTTAGTAATGGATTCTGTGATAGGTTTGGGGGGGTGGCAAGAGCAAAGGTACTTTCACACATAATAAACCATAAAGATGGGTCTGATTGGTTATAAACCGGAATTTGGACTGGCATGAACATCAGACATTGTGCAAGGTTTTTAAGCCAAAAATAAAAGGAAAAATTTAACTAAAGAAAATGAAATTAAATGATAAGTAGAAAACAGAATTATAAAATGATCTATAATTACTACTCATCTGTGATTCCGGAGGACGAGAAAAACCGGTATGTAATCCATTACTTCTGGTTTGGAGATCTTGAGTGATGGCTTGTGTAGTCAAAACCGAAAGTGCTTGAGAACTGTTCATACGGCCTGATTTAACACAGTCCGGGTTACCATTATGGTGATTCCTATCATGTTGTTACCTGTATGTTTTACCACCAATGCTCGCAATTCCATATCACAGATTATGTTCTTACTGCATTAATATAAATATTAACAAGACATAGTGCACAATAAAAATTAAGCTTTATTTCGGAACTTCGTGCACACCGCCCGACAGCCTGCCTGTTACGCTCTGCTCGCTACTCGTAAGAAACTTCTCCTCTAGGGTTGCCACACTTATCGGAGGGCGCAAGACGCGCTCCTTATCGCCATCACCACAAAGTACACACAAAACAGCAGAAAAATCCCTCACTGAAATGAATAGAAAACAAAACGTTTGTAAGCAAAATGCATGAAATCAGACAAGCAAAGCACAATATCCAAATGTACAAAACATAAACAAACCCCAAACAGGCTTAGAAGCCCCAAACAGGCTTACATTTTGCTTTCTTTTTTGCACGTGGTGTGGCCGCTATTTTGTGATTGTATGAGTTTCGGTGAGTACATTTTTGCAATTTTCAAGTGTTTATGTTTTGTACATTTGGATATTGTGCTTGCTTTGTCTGATTTCATGCATTTTGCTTACAAACGTTTTGTTTTCTATTCATTTCAGTGAGGGATTTTTCTGCTGTTTTTGTGTGTACTTTAATATTGCTCAGTTAATTTGGTTTGATTTTCTGCATTGTTTATCATGCCTTCATCCGTTAATCGTTTCACTAAATTACGCCTGAAACGGCAAAAAATTCCTGAATCATCTTGACTTTTTACTTAAATGTAAATGTAAAAAATTGATCCCTAATTTTATTCAAATCAAATCTAATCAAAAAAAAACCTTCGAGTCGCGTTTCAAGAATTCTGTTTTTAAATTGCAAGCTTGCCTTACTTCGGTCCGTGATAAGGGATACACGTCAACAATTGTCCAAAATTGAACATGAACTCTATAAGCTTCATCTGGAACTCGCTAAAGCATATCCAAAATTCACTGCCCTTGAACAAAAGTCTTGGTCTAGAACGGAGAGAATGCAGTTAACCTCATAAAAACACCCTTGCAGTTAAATTCGAAAAACTTCTTTTACGGTCTTCCAGTTCAAGTAGTTTCAAAAAATCTTCCCATTGTAAACATCAAGCCAATAGTTAATATTTCTAATGTTAGTCTTTCAGAAGAACAAGAGAGAATTCTAAAATATAATTTCAACTTCTCACAAACCTGTAAAACCCTCGATTCCAAAGATTTTGGCTCCTATCGAAAAAGCTTTCAAGTTCAGTAAAGTTTCAGATTCACAGAAAGAAATGATTAGGCATCTTATCGCTCATAATGTGAAATTCAATAATAAACATTTGAAACCAAATCTAACTGCGAGAGAAAGAGAAGAGCTACAATGCGCGAAATTCATTCTAACCCGGATATTATCATTTCAAAGGCTGACAAAGGTGGCCAGATAGTCGTCATGGATAAGAACACTTACATCGATGGTGTCACTAAACTCTTAAACGAAGGACCATATAATCCGATCCCTAAAGATCCTTCACCTTCTGACTTATCCAAAATAAAAACTGCGATCAAATCTTCGCAAGTCATTTCAAGCAACTTAAAACATTCGCTTATCCCATCTGTTGCGAATTGTGCCAGATTATATGCTCTTCCCAAAATTCATAAAAGTGGTATTCCTTTCCGCCCTATTGTATCAAATTTAGGTACTGCCTCGTATCCTTTAGCTAAATATTTAGTTTCTAGATTTTCCACTCTCTTAGACAATAACATTTACACCATAAAAAATTCAATAGAGTTTGTAAAAAAGGTTAAAAACATTTCTCCTAGTAATTTACTCATGGTTTCTTTTGATGTAAAATCATTATTCACCAATGTCCCAGTGGAGGGTGCATTAAGATGTCTAGAAACCAGACTTCGCGAATTTCATTTCTCTTGCATCGAAATTGATGAGCTAATTTCTCTCACTCAACTCTTTTTGAAACAAACACATTTTGTTTTCCAATATAAATATTACAAGCAAACTGAGGGATTAGCCATGGGAAGCCCCCTCAGTCCCATCCTGGCTGATATCTACATGCATTATTATGAATCAAAATTGTTTGAAACTTTAAACTTCCCGGCATGGTTCCGCTACGTAGACGATACTTTTACCCTGTTTGAAGGTAATAAGATGATTTAAATAAAGTTCTTTCAACAATGAATTCTATTGATCCTGCTATTCAGTTCACTTTTGAACTTGAGACTTGCAATTCCCTTCCATTTCTCGACATTCTGGTCACACGTAACACATCCAACTTCAGTACTACAGTTTACCGTAAACCTTCATCGGTTTGCCTTCCACCACACTTTAAATCATGTCATCCGACTAAACAAAAGTTATCTTCATTTTATTCCTATGTTTTCCGTGCTCTTCAAGTTTGCTCCTCCAAACTAGCCCTTGATGAAGAACTAAATTATTTAAAAGCAATAGCTATTGACAGGGGCTTTTCACCCAACATTATTAATCAAGCAGTTAAAAAATTCTCATCTCAACACACTAAAAGCCACACTCTTATTTTAGGAGATTATAAAAATTCTGTTGTCATTCCCTTCTTTCCATCAATTAGCTATAAAGTTGCACATATTTTGCAGAAGTTTAACTTTCGGGTTGTTTATTCTCCCATCAATAAAATTCCAACTTCTATACTCAAGGACCCCATTCCGGATATGAATTCCTGGGGGTATTTATAGAATTCCTTGCCAGTGTGGTTTAATTTACATTGGCCAAACTAGGAGAGCCTTAAAAGTTTCGCGTCAAAGAACATGAGACATATGTTAGAAAAAAAAGGAAACACAGAAGCCTTCTGTTGCTCAACATTGTTGGTCCGAAAATCACTCTTTCAATTTTTCTGCTGCCAAAATTATTCAAAAAACATCTTCCATTGGAGAACTGGATTTTCTAGAGGCATTTCACATTCATAAAAATCTTTCTGTTCTAGTTAACGATCCTAATTCCAATACAAATTTGCCTTCGGCTTTTAGAGAAATTATGTTTTAGTTCTGGTTTCGCCAACAGATGGCGCCACTTGCTTATTCTTGTCCAGGCTTTCTTATCTTATCTAATCATTATTTCCTATCTTGTTCATTTGCGGTTTTGCAGCTGAAGATGATGGTTCGGTAAAACCATCGAAACTAGTCCTGTGAAAATTTTGTAGGTATAACGCTGATTTTTGTTGTTTGACTTCTGAATTAATGTAGTATATAAACCTTCTTTACATGAATTTAAAGATTAAGCCTTTCTGAAAAATATTGCAACAATGCAAAATTGCTTTAAATTTTTAATTCCAGTACCAAATGTAATCTCAAAAACTCACCAACAAACATATTCCTTTCGCAATGAACTTGTTTTTTAGGGAAATAATAATTTATAGCTTCATTTTATGATCTTTATTTATTTCCACAGAAAAAAGTGCATTCTGTAATATTTTCATAATTTTTTAATAACACTTATCCTAATACATTTGCTAAAAAATAAAATACTTGAATGAGATGTAATAAGATTGTCTATTAGAGTTTCATACCTGTTCTAACATTTGTTAACTTGAATGAGATGTAATAAGATTGTCTATTAGAGTTTCATACCTGTTCTAACATTTGTTAACAAACTCATTTACCCATCTTTCTATAAAATTTAATTTTTGCATTCAGATTAATTTTATAAGAAGCAGAATATTTTCAAAATATTATGTTTCAAGTATCACATCTCTGATGGGTAATTTTACACACAGCCTGGATTTACGTGCTTTAATAATTCTCCTTAAAAATTTAAAGGAGAATGAAGTAACCAGACTGTGAGCACAGTTTAATGAAGATTTTAATTGATTTAGTATTAACTAAGAGTGACCGAATGAACAATATATTAGAATTCAAAATATCAACAAATTTCAGGTTTTCAGTTCATTTAAAATTTGAAATTTTAATTGATTTAATTGAAATGACAGTTACTTACATCAGGTGGATTCAAATGATGTGAAACACTTATCGTTATAGATATTTCATTTCCAAGTTTCTGGGTGCCAAGTAGATCTATAAACAGACAGACAATAAACTAGAATAGAAGTAATGAATGAAGCTAGTGATGGATTCAAATGGTAAAAAAATAATTTACACGAAGAAAAAATTATTATTTATTTTCAATAAAACCTAAATTTCACAAGAAAAACACCAATGTTAGAAATCTTTCGAAAAAGAGTTACTATTTTTGTTATTGTTATTATTATACAGGGTGTTTTATAAAGTCCCGGACCCATTTTGATGTTTAATAACTCATAAAAATAATAAAGATAGATTAAAAGTAATAACATAAATGGTTTTAGACAGACTCAAAAAAGGTTTCATGACATGTGCCCCCTTTGTCACACGGAGAATATCAAATCGATATTCAATTTCAAGCCAGGTACCGGCAAAAGCATGTTGGCATTCACAGAGGCTATTGCGGTTGTAATTCTGGTTTTTAGATCATCCATGTTCGACACTCTCCTCCTGTAAACGTTGTCCTTTACAAATCCCCAAAGGAAAAAGTCCAGCGGTGTTATATCAAGTGATCTGAGTGGCCAAGGAATTGGATCTCCTCACCCAAACCATCTTTCTGTAAAATGGTCATTCAAAGAACTACGAACGATGGTACCCCAATGAGGTGGTGCATCATCTTGTTGCAAAAAGACATGTGGCTGAAGCTCTTCTAGTTGTGGAAATATGAAGCTTTCCAACATGTCTAAGTATACGACTGATGAGACCGTCTTTTCTGTAAAAAGGAAAGGCCCAATGACTCGGTCGTGCATTAGTCCACAACACACATTAACCTTTGGGGAATCCCTTTGTGCCTCACGGTATTCATGGGGGTTTTCAGATTCCCATATTCGCACATTATGGCGATTAACAATGCCGGTACAATTAAAGGATGTTTATGACGATATTACAGATGACATTTAGAAAAGTAGAGATGTTTAGAGTTGAAAATGAAATTATCTAAAATTAACCACACGTGCAGACGATATTTACAAAAGTAAAGATATTCAAACCTGAAAAGGAAAATATATAAGTTATTCCATCAATAAATGCCATAAGTCTGTTTATACGAGTATCTTCATTATTTTATGAGTTATTAAACATCAAAATGGGTCCAGGACATTATAAACACCCTGTATTACAACTACTTCTACAGCTATTATCTGACATCACATGTATATTATACATTACATACATACAGTTTCACATACACTTTATGCATTACCTAACTTTTTTTTTTTTTTTTTTCTTTTGGAAAAAGAGACTAGCAAGTTTTCAAAGAAGTATATTGTAATGGGTGACCGGAAAAATGCCCATAGGAAAAAAACCCACAGGAAAAATGCTTACAGAATAATGCTCACAGGTATAAATGCTCACAGGAAAAAAACCCACACAGATATATGCTCACATAGAAAAAAGCTCACATGGGAAAAATGCTCACTCAGAAATATGCTCACATGGAAAAAAGCTCATATAGATATATGCTCACATGGAAATAAGCCTACTGATAAATAAAATACGTATACTCATATATCCTTACATTAATCAATCAATAATTAATCAATTTGAGCATCGTACACCTACTTGAATTTTTCAAAGAAAAATTATTTAAATTACCAAAACATCTATGATATATATATGTCATAATAAGAGCAAAGGAAAAGACGGAGCACTGTAGATGCGTAGTTATCCTATATTGAAGAGGAAGTAATCTGATTGCGTCGTAAGCTAATGTGTTGACTTTGTAAATAAAACTTGGCAGTATAAAAGAAGCGATTTTAATTCCATTTTTATTCCAATTGGGCATATGTGGCCACAGATCACTTGGCACTAGTCGTGCCTTTCCACACAAGATTTACATTTTTATATATTGTTAAGATAGAAAGCAAGCCAGCGAAATTACATCTTAGCAGAGTAGAGGGCAAAAGCTGAAGTACGTAGTTATGCAAAATGGAAGCACGCGAAGAGAAAAGTTTTGGTTTACAATTCGGTGATTGGTTGTCAAGAGGCATCTGGTATTAATGGTTACATAAGATCGCATGATTAATTTGAATGATGCAATGCAGATAAGTTATTATGATTTTAGAATAGAGAGGAAGAATTAATGTTTATAGTTATATTATAATTCTGATTCATACATTTTTATCTTACATATATATATATATCAAAAACTGTATAACTTATGTGTAGATTTAGTTGCAATATAAGATTAATAAATGGGTCGTTTTGAATCAGAAAAAAGAGAGGAAAAAGGAAGAAAATTAAACAGAATATACAGCGAAAAATTATTACAATTTTAATTGCTAAAAAAATAAAATAATAGTAAGTATAAGTTACACATTTTATAATATAAACATTTAGAAGAATAAGCAAATACAAATAATTATTTTATTTAAATAAAGTAAAATACCTTGTTATATACAAATCATGTATATTTTACATAAACTTATAAGATATTTCTCCCACCTTCTTAGCATGTCTTCGTGGTGTGGTGGTCTGCACACTGGGAGCGTATTCCAGAGGTCTGTGGTTCGATTTCCGGTGAAGGCTTTGTTCATTTTTCACATCTCCTGCTTCCAAAATACCTAATGTTTCTACAGTGGTGCCTGAACTAAAAGAGTGGAGGATGATGATTCTCCACACCCAGGATTTGGCAATCGGGGCCCCTAAAAACCCCAGTTGCTCTTTGCCTTACTCGCATGCCTTCGTGGTGTGGTGGTTTGCACGCTGGGCGCGTATTACAGAGGTCCGTGGTTCGATTCCCGATGAAGGCTTTGCTCATTTTTCACATCTTCTGCTCCCAAAATACCTAATGTCTCTACAAATTTATTCATCATCGATTTCATCTTAGTTTCTTACATGATTCAGAGTTACCAAATGTAAGCTTTCTTTCTTTTTTTTTTTTTTTTTTTTACTTCAGTATGCCCTGTATTTACAATAGCTAGTAATAAACATTGACAGGCTAAATCTTTTTTTCAGTCCATCAAACAAAAACCACATACTAGAATGGCTACAATTAAATAATAAATTTAGTACCTAATGACAGATTTCATAAGAATTCGTGTTGTTTTAAGAGATTTTTTGAAGGCTGCTTCATAATGATTCCACACTTCGATTGAAAACTGTGGTCTTCTAGAACTCTTTTGGCTCCAGACTTAAATAACTACATTCAAACATCAATTTCTATAGATACACAACAAAAGTATGCAAAAATAGAGTAAATAAAAACCAAAAATAAACTATTGGCAGTTACAGGGAAAAAAAATGTCGTACAGGGGGCAGTGATATAAAATACTACAGTACATGCAGAATTTTACTATAGTTTTCATTCTTTTATATACCGCCCCTGAAAAGGTTAATATAGCATTTGTCCAATATTTTTTTCAAATGATCAAATAATTTTTCTTTAAAAAATTCAAGTAGATGTACGATGTTCAAATCGATTAATTATTGAATGATTAATGTAAGGCTATTCTACATATTTTATTTATCAGTGGGTAGCTTTTGACGATTTTACTAGAATTAACAACTATGTACAAGTCAGGAGATAATGTTATACTGAAAATGAAGTGCATTTAAGTGCAAATACTCAGGTTTATCAATTTTTGAATTCTATGAATTAAAGCTGAGAACATGATTATTAATATAATATTTGTTTTTAAAATTTCTGAATTTCAATAAATATTTCACATAATAACATAAATAAGCATTTTGCATAATAATATCAATAAATATTCTGCATTTCAATAACTATTCTTCATTTCAATTTTGAATAAAAATATGATTCAGTATACAATCTTTCCATTAAATCATTTATATTGAATATTGATTTTATGACAAAATTATATACAAAACTACATGAAAATTAAAACTAAAAAAAAAAAAAAAAAAAAAAAAAAAAAAAAAAAAAAAAAAAAATATTGAACAAAACATTTAAGAATACTTTTTAAATTTCTGTACCACATGCTACAATTCCTTTTAAGTCTAAACATTAAAGCATACATTATTCTGTAATTTTCTATTATAATGCTGCTCAACAGGTCATGGTTTCAAATATTACGCAGGTGCTACCTAAAACATATAAGCAATCCAGCCATGGATTAATGCATTTAGGAACAAAACAGGCATTCTTGAAGGCATCAAAGTCTCTAGGGAAAATAGGAAGTGAAATGAACAAGGGGCTTCATTAAAACAATGCAATTATTTGCAATCAAATAACTAATTCTGCAAAAGAATAGAGAAATGAAATAAAAGCTAAATATTTTAAGACTATTTAAAAATATATATAATTCATGTATATTATAACTGTATAAGTAGAAACAATAATCCAAAGGGCATGATGAGATTTTGATCTATATATACATACACATTTATTTAGTTTTACATACATTTATTTAATCACTATACGTTTATTTATTTATTATTGTTGTTGTTGTTGGGTTTTATTTATGTGCTGTTGACTAGAATATATTATAAAAATAATTTTAAGTTTATAAATACTTACATTACTTTATTTCTTTTATCACATACATATTTCATTTTTTCTTTTGGTGCAATGAGGCTTTCATTTCTTTCAGGAAATTATTAATTTAAGTATTTAAAACTGTCAACAGACTGTCTTTTTTTTATAAGTATCATCCTAACACAGTATTCTTGCATCTTAAGAGGGCAAGGCATGACACTAAAATCATTTTTCTCTTACTGGCATAAACAAGAAAATACTGTACTAATTTAATCATTTTTTTTTGAAAAAAAAAAAAGTTCTACTTTGGTAGACGGTTGCCCGGAATTTTTGGTGATTTACTTTGGCGCAATTGTTGGCATAGATTTTGTTGGCATCAGCCATCTTCAAAAAAAATTTTTTTTAACTTATTTTACGCATAGTAAATTATTCGAAACTTTAAAAACATAAATATCGTTAAAAATAATTAATAAATTTTTTGTTGAAAACGTTGTTTTTTAAGATGGCAGGCAAATGTAAATATACACATTTACTACGAGTATAAAATACTAAAGTAAGGTTAAACTATTATTTTCATACAGCAAAGAAATAGAATAAAAACACTTTAAAAAACATTGCGCCAACGTTTAACTTTTAAAATATTACTTAAATTGAATATCGAATTAAAAACCATCATAACAACGTTTAAAAGAATTAAAACATAACTTAAATTCAAATACTTTAAAATAAGTAATAGGATAAATATTTTCTAACTGCGCCAGTCACTACAGCTTCTGGAAAAATACGGAGCTCACATTGAATTCATCGTGCGAACCCATGAATATTTTTTACACTACAGCTAAAATGACAGCAATTAGAAGTTTACTGCCGGTAAAGGAGGAATGTCTATTTTTTTTTTTTTAACCCGTTACAGCGGTTATTTCTTCCACCGTGACCACATTATCATATACGGCCGTCCTCAGAATCGGCTCTTTTAACGATTTTCATCTATGACCCATATTTCTCACATTTCATAGAAGAAGCAATTAGCGAGGTTTCCTCCAAAAATTTAAAATAAATTTTCTCTGGCCCTTGTAACAATTTATAAATAAATCTTTGATTAGGAAAGCCAGGTTGGCCAAAATAAGGTCTCAAATGACAATTTTTGATTCCGATACCAATAATTCTTGGTACTTAACAACAATAACAACATTAATCTTTGAAAAGGACATATCCATTCACTATGAAATCTATGGAATTGGAAGAGATGAATAATAAAATTTTAAAATGGCACGGTAATGCACAAATATTCAGTAACCAATTAGGAAGCTGATTACATCATGCATAAAATTTAAATTATTTAAATAATCATACATAATAAAATCATTTTCCAAAAAAATTCAAAATTAAATTGTATTTTAATATTTAGCAGACATAAATAATAAATTTATAGATATTAAAACCAATAACTTTTAAAGTAAGGTGATGTCATTGATTACATCATCCATAACAAAATTATATAAAATATCATAAACAATAAAATTTTTATTTCAAATAAAAATGGAAAATTAAATTCATTTTTATTACTTAGAAGCCTTAAATAATATTTAAAACACGGAATTTATGCATAATAAAACGCGTTATTTTAAAAATAAAATGACAACAAAGTATCGGTTACCATAAATAACTTGTCCGGCAATGGATTTACCATAAGTTGTATCGCATGCCAAAAAAAAATTCGCCAAAATCCGTGCAACCATTTACCAAAGTAGCACCGAAAAAAATCAATAATTTTATTTACTTTGATTGGATGATTTTATTATTTTTTTTAGATTGTTCATTTCTTGCTCAGCTTCTTTAAAATCAATGTCTTTAGGCTCACATACTGGAGACACAAATAATGATGGCTCTGTACCTAGGTAACAGCAGGCTAAACATCCTTGTTCTGAAAGCAAGGTGAGAATTCCTTTCACATTCCTGAAATGTAAAAATACTAAAATAACACATAGAATTAAATTAAAAACAATTTTAGCCTTTAAAGTTCAACATTCTAAAAAAGTTTCTTTACATTCTGACATTCTTGACATAAAAATGTAATTGTTATCAAAAGTTATGTGTTGTCTCCCATTTTGAAAATGGGGAGGGGACACTAATACATGTGCTTTATACAAGTATACAATATCAAAAGAAATACAGAACAATTTTATGAGGCATTTGTTTTATAAGAGATAAAAACACTGAAAATTTTATTTACAAATTACTGTTTTTGATTCTATCACACTGTTTTAAGCACATAACACACCTTGTGTGCACTTCGCTTAATAGATTACTTATAAAACAGGAAATTCAAATTAACTACTGCAAACACAGTAAAGAGAACAGGAAACCTTAGAACTTTGTCTATTGTCTTTGGAATGAGAATCTGCATTTCTAAAAATCTTCCAATATGTGTTTATGCTATCTTTGGATTGTATATTAGCTGGAAAATATTTGTTGTGCTCCAGTTCTGTTGCTTATTCTATTTCAGTTTACTATTTATAAAAATGTCAAAACTGTATTTAAGAAATGGTATCATAAGGAATTCTTTTCAAATGCCTGATTACAGTCTACTTAAAACTGTCTCCAGTTACAACAAAACTTTTGTTTTGAACATTAACAACTGATAAGTTATGATCAATGCTAAACACATCAAACTTGTCTTCCTCTCCAAAAGTAAGAAAGTATGTAGCAAACCTACTTGATCCTAACTTACTGGCATTTCATCTTCTGCCCTTAAACTACCACAAACCAACACAGTATAGAAATCAAAGGAATATAACACATGAAATGTACAAAATAGTGGTATTCTAAATATTAATGTCAGAACAGGCATTTTCAAACAGAAAGAATTTCATAGTTTCAGAAGTGGAAATATAGTCAGTTTTTTTATAAAGTTTTCATAGTCATCAATATTTTATATAATTTTTGTTGCATAATTTATAAAATAGGTTAAAAATAACCTAAATTCAAATAAATGTATATCAATCTTTTCAGTTTCAAAAAAGGAAGGGAAATGATCTTCTAACAATGGTTAAAGGGATACATCGGGCAAAGCAGGCTGAGAACCTCTGTCCTACAACAATCTAAACAAATTAAAGAATGCTTTCACATGAACATTACATAAAATCTAGTTGCTCTGCTCTTAATTATGGGCTTTGCTCTAAATGAGTAATATTGTACCAACCCCACTGGATGCATTTTGAATACATCAACACAGCATGCAGCAAAATACCTGTCCTGTGGCAGACATGAACTAATAACAATGTTAAAATACATGCATGCATGCACACATATACATACGTATATACACATACACATATACGTATATATATATATATATATATATATAAGATTTGATTTATGTACATAACTTTGATCATTGTATTTACTTTTGCGTGATAGACATCGTATTGTATACTTTTTCTCATATTTTACATATATAAATTAATGACTACACAGTAATTTTTAATAGGTTCTGAACTAAACACAGGCTATAAATTTTTCTAAAATTCAGTACTAAACACAGTGTACAAATTTTTCTCCTATAATGTAAAAAATTCCGTTTTTTCATAGGGAAAAACTTCATTTACAAATTTAATGCCCTCAAGAATTTAGTTTAATTCTGCCCCACACTTCACATTATAATGTGTAAACACTGTATTTAGGCAATTTAATTATGCTCTTTGAAGAATATTTTTAAAATATCAAGTTCATGCGCATGACATCACTTTATTACTTTTTTCATTGTTAATGAGCTTAAAAAGTAAAGGATGATCTTATTTGTGAAGCTATTTTGTACTTAGATCAATACAGCATTTAAGATGTTTTACAGTATGACATAAGCACACATGAAAGAATTTAATTTTAAAGAAAATAATAATAAACAACATTTCTCTTTTACTGATGACAAGATTTTATTTTTATTGGTGGACACTTAGCTGACTTACACTTGGCCACTACTATGGCTGGAAGCGGTGGCCACTTAAATGTGGAAGTGCCTAATAATAGGTGGGCCAACTGTTACCTCTTATGGAAGGACAAACAGTTACAACCATGCCTTCACTGGGATTTGAATCCATGCCCTTTGGTATCGCAAAAGGCTTCCCTAACCATTACACCATTTGGGCGACACTCTGATGGCAAGATTTATATCATAAAACACAGATTGTTAATAAATTCAAAATTATTTCTCCTAAAAATTTCATCATTGTTTCATTCAAATGTAAAATGATTATTACTTAATGTTTCACTTAAAAGTGCGTTGAACTAAACTGGATTTCCGAATTTTATTTCTTCTGTATCAAAATTGTTGAGTTAATTTCACTTACTCAAATTTGACCCAAACAAATATACTTTGTTTTCCAAAATAATTATCTGTACCAAACTGAAGAATTAACCATAGGAAACCCTCTCAGTAACGTTGCTGCTGAAGTTCACCTGTATTATTATAAATCTGAAATAATTAAAATACTGAATTTTCCTTTTAATTTTTTTATGAACTTTAATTTTAATTCCTTATGTTCCACAAAATATACCACAAGGCTTACACAAGTAAGTTAACAACCACAAACGGAATAAACAAATGTACAATAGTACTTCAAATGAGTAAAAATTATTTAAAAACAATAAATAAATAAAAAATCAAGAACTCAATAATCCAAATTGAGAATGAAATTTCAAAAAGCAGAAATTGTCTCTTTAGTCCGAAAAAGTTCAGAAAAAATTGGTGGCCAAGATATAGACAGGTGCTTTCTCTGCTGGACATGATGAATGCACTCAAGAAAAATATGCTCAACATCCTCATCACCGCTGCCGCAGCTGCACAAAGCGCTTGAAGCAAGTCCAAATTGCATTGGATAGCTCTTAAAATTACCATGTCCAGTCAGAAACTGAGTTACCTTAAAATCTGTTAAAAACTGAAGAACTTTCATTCCGTGAAAAACTGTAGGAAAAACACTTTTGGTGCATTGTGCTTTTGCTGCGGCCAGATATTCTCTCTTCCAAATACAGATAGCATCATTTCTATAAAAGCGCTTCTAATGAAAACAGGAGCGCGGAGATTTAAATCAATATGATGTTTCGTGGTTTAGTTTATCAGAGCATCAGCTTTCTCATTTCCAAAATTTCCACAGTGTCCACAAATGTAAGCAAAATGAATGCTGATATCAAAGTCTTAATAATAACCTGAATTTCAACAGCAAATTTCTCTGAAACACTAATTTTCTTAATAAATGTAGCGATCTGCTTAGTAAAAGTAACGAAGATTTATTTAAGGTTCTCTTGGTCATATATTTTATTGATCCTGCTATTCAGTTCAACTTTGAACTTCACACATCTAACACCTTGATTACTCAATATTTTCATCACACTCAGTTAGCTTCTTCACATCATCTGTTGATCACGAAGGAACTCAAACAGAAGTTACAATTAGGAAATTTATGTTGTCGTGTTTATTCACCAAAAGTTAAAAAATTTTCATCTCTCCCAACATGGGGGGGAAGGAACCCTTTCCTTCTGATATATTATAAGAATTCAGCAGTTATTCCATTCTTTGCATTAATTAGTTAACAGTGCATATTTTAGATTGCAATTAAATTTATTTTCAGAAACACATTATTATTTTGAGGGTATAATACAGATGAAAGATTAAAATATTGTACGAGTGATTTATAAAATTAGGACACATAATTTTTTAGATATTGTATTAAAACAATCCCTAAAATATAAATACATTATTATGATAATTAAGCCAATTGCTACTCACATGAAACAGGACCGATGCATAGACACAGGTGGAAACATTAACTGGGATGCCCATTTCAGTTGAGTTTCATGATATATCAACAGAGTTTGGTTTGATGTAACAACAAGAATTATCAGAAATCCATGATGTTCTGAAAAAGGAAAACAAAATTTGTATTACAAAGTGATTTTACTTTTTATGGACAATTTTTAAATATTTTAAGGGTTTAAATGAATTTAATAAAAGAATTTCAAATACAAACCTATTTTAGAGAATATAACAACAAAATGTATTTGAAAGGAAAACATCAGAAAAGTCCAGAGGTGATTGGAAATTTGCAAAGCTTAATATTATTTAATAAATATTATTGCTCAGTTTTTAACCAAATTTACCAAACTTAAGCATATTAATAATTTTACTAATTTCTTGTATATTTTGTTCTATTGCTGTATAGGTAAAAGAAAATTACATCTATAATAAGAGTATGGGGAATTCTGACCAGTACCTCTGGCATTTTCTGATTTAGAAATACTCAGATATATTCTTCTGCTAATGAATTTATAGTACTTTATGTGGAGAAATGTAAGCATTAAAATGTTGCAAAGTAATTACCAATAGGCTTTGTTAATAATTTTTAACTTTTATGTCTTCCACAAAATGACTTAAAAGAAATTGGAATTGTTCAAAATAATAAATACATTATTTTCTATGAAAACAAATTACTTCAAAAGTCAGTAGAAAATGAAATAAATGAGTTGTAACATAAAATATGAAGAATAGAAATCTTTCACATTAGGCAACTCCCTAAAACAAGCATCTTTGAAAGTGGTCAGTATATCTAAGTACATAATCAAATAGTAGTAGTATTTGTTTACACCTTGAAAGCTGCACAAGTGCTGACAATTGCCAATTTTGGAATATTCATGAGTAAGTTCACCTAATCTTACTGATTTCATGGAATTGGTGTAGTATGGTCTACATTTACCTTAATTGGAATTATGGTGCTCATATTTTAAATTAACTGATACCTACAGTGCCATCCCTGGCTAAAATGGCTATAGTGCTATCCTTGTTTCAAAAGAAGGTGTTTTAACTTGAACATGTTTTAATTGGAAAAGTGTTTTATGGGTATCAACAGAATTGGTTTTAAGTTCTATTATATTTTTGGTCCACATGATCAGTAGGTAAAGATTCAGTAATTTGGAGATTTAAGTGGAATTGACTTTTGTTACAAAAGGGCAGTTCATTGTGACTGGATTGACGATTCCTGTTTTAGTGTAAGTAAGGAAGACATAGAATAAAAATATGAAAATTTTGAATTAGAGGCAAGCAGCTGTCAAGTTGAAAATTACAGACTTGCGAATTACATTAAGGACAAAAATAGAAAAAAAAAAAAAAAAAAAAAAAGGATGATATAATAGTCATAAATGCAAAGACTGGTATGTTAGAATTAGTGAAAAATCAGCTGGAAGCTGTCAGGCTCAATATTATGAAACTTTGTCAGAAAAAGACCTTTTGGAGATGGAATAGGATTTAGAAAATCTGGAAGTAATATTTTTAAAGTCTGAAGCCTATTTCACAGAAAATTCTTATTTAAGTGCTGCAACTGATAATAATGTAAAAGTGAAACTGTCAGACATTCCCTTCCAAAGTTTTCTGGTGATGTCAAAGAATGGCATGGCTTTAAGGCTCAGTTTAATTCCTTGATATCTTCTGATAATCAACACGAAAACTCACATAAATTGCTTTATTTGAAATTGGTAGTAATTAGTAATATTAAGTGGATTTTAAACTAGTGAGGATACTTTCAGCTAACTTATTGAAACATTAGAGAAATGTTACAAACATAAGTGGCTACTTTTTCCCTACTGACCTTATAAATCTAGAAAAATATATCATGAATCTGCAGTTGAATCATGACTTCTAGTGAACAAAGTAATTAAAGAGAGAAAAATTTTTTAATTAGATAAATTAAGTGCTAATATTATTATAAATATTACATTTCAAAATACTGATAAAGAAATGAGACCCCTTTCTGAAATGTCTTTGGAGACTTCAGAACTATCTGAATAGGAAGCTTTAATTGATTTTCTTAAGAAACTTTGTCACTTCTTAGTAAAATTGCAAGAACACTAGGCACAAATGAAGTGAAATCTGTAAATAAGGTTAAAACACTTGTTATAAACTCAAATATTAAACCCTCAGCCTGTATTATTTGTAAATCTGGATTGCATCCTGTTCGTAAATGACATGAATTAAAAAAATGTAAAGTGAAACAACGATTTTATCACATAAAAAAAAAATCCTTATGCCTAAAGTGTTGTTCACCAACGAATAAAAAATGAATGCAAGCCAAGATGTAGTTGCAACTTTTGCAATAGGCCACATAATTCTTTATTGCAGAACATCATAAAAATAAAGTCAACTAACTCCATGCAGAAAGAAGACAAAATTTCCACGTCATACAATTCAAAACCAATTCAATTCACATGTGCAAATGCTGGCTGCTTATATAAAAACTCTTTTGGCAACTGCATAATCTTTGGTAAATGGACATGCTCTGCGATTTTATGTGATTTTAGAAGAATGATTAATTCTCTAATTAGAGGTAGCTAACTAGATAAAGCATGCAAATTGTGGGGTTGAATGAAGATGTTATTCTCGCGATATCAAAGATACGGACTGAAATTTCAAATTTAACTAATGATTTTGTTAGATTTTCAGAATTCGTCATAGAGCCTATAATAACAAATATCACACCTGCAAGATATATATTTATATAAAATTGAAATCTGAGTCATGGCACTGAACTTGCCAATTTAAAATTTTTTAAATATGGAAAAAGAGATCAGATCATTGATGCAGAGCTTTTTTTTTTTTTAGATATGCTAAAATCAGGCAGGCTTTTTATTAAGGACTCCAATTTGCTACTGCAGAAAAGCATTTTTGGTTATATAATCAGTGGCTCAGCTACTGAGGAGGATTCAGCTGATAAATTACGTTGTGGAGTTTTGTGAGAACCTATTAATATTGGCGAAACTCTTAAAGGGTTTTGGGAAATGGAATCTGTTAATGCTTGTACAGATGCAGATCAAAATGAATATGAAAATTTAGGTAAATCTAAATTTATGGAAGCTAATCGATTAGATTTAAATAAGCATCTTAAAATGCAGTGTCTTTATAGAGATTTTATTCAGAAATATAAGGATTTGGGACACATGGAAGTGGTTGCTAAGTACTGAGAGGGTCCGTGACACTTAGCCAACAGGACACTTAACCGACACCAGTTAGCCGACAGGACATTTAGCCGACACGGACACTTAGCCGACAAGGACAGTTAGCCGACAGGACATTTAGTCGACACAGACACTTAGCCGACAGGACATTTAGCCAACACGGACAGTTAGCCGAAATGACATTAAGCTGACAATGAATCTCGCTCTTCCCAATGGTTTTAGATTTCTAATACTTTCACATTTCATTACTACTTTGCTCAACACATCACATTACATTCATTCCCATATAAAGTCGTTTCGCTCCTTCCACTAATGAAATCTTCTTTCCCTGTCAGGAAGTAGAGTGATTTGCCCTACTCCTAGCAACACTGGAACTACCTTTTTTTTTTTTTTTTTTTTTTTTTATCTACTTAGTGATGTTTAACTGGCACGTACCCAATAATTATTTAAACTTATCAATTACAAAATTTCTCGACTTCTCCATAAGTTCAATATTTAAGTTATTTTTCACCTATCAGTAAAAATCATTTTTCGATTCTTAAAGATCTCATGTGCTTTTAATTATTGTGTTAATTTAGCATTGTTTGATATATATCATGCTAATCAAAATCGTAAAAAACAACCATAAGGTTGTTTTTTACGATTTTGATTGTCACATTAGCGTGTTTCTCTTCTAGTCTATATATCATGCTGTTTGGTGTATATTGGCCAAACTGAAAAAGCGCTGAAATTTCTCGTCAAGGAATAGGAATTAAATTTCGAAAGGAAAAAAGAATTTTTTTAGTTAAGTATGGCAGTCACTTAATTGCATTTGAGATCTTTAAAAATTATCTGTAAAGCTTCTTCATTTAATCAACTGGGTTCTTTTGAACACTTTGACATTATTAATAATTTTTCTTGTTTACTTAACAATATTAATATTCCAATCTCGCTCTTCCAAATACTCTTATGTTTCATTACTATTTGACTCAATACATCATGTTAATCATTTCGCTCCTCCTACAAATGAAATTTCCTTTCCCTGTCACGAAAAATCTAAATAATGCAATAAAAATTATTGTTATTCTTGAAATATACTTTTTATAGAAATATATGGTAATGAAGGGTTAGTTTAGCTAATATATTTTATTTTGTTATTAAAAAGAATTTAAAAAATTGAATTTTTAAATAAGCAAAGAAATAAATTATTTGTGACCTCTATAATGAGCTGGCCATGCCACTATCCCTGAGATAAAAATTCTATAACATTTTATTCACCATGCCTCTCTCTTAAAATACTTGCTTAGGTAAATATTCATAGCAGTAAACTGGTGCATTATGTTTAATTTAGAAGTAAAATATTCGTTATGGTTTTATTTCATTCATAACTGAATGCATTTCTCAAAAGCTACATTTTTCTCTCTTCATATATCGAAAACATTGCTGATATGAAATTCCGGATGTTGGAAAATCTCCGAAGAGAAATCGGAGGAAGCAAGCAGGGCGGAGCAAAACGAGACATCCTGAAAAGCCACTGTAATGTGGTGCCATCTCTCGATGCTAGATTTAACTACATCAGTCATGTAACTAGATAATATTATGTAGTCTGTTTTGAAAGTCGCAATGTGTAATTTTCAATATAATAGTGTTACGGATTTGGTATTTAAATAGCTAATGTTAGTTGAACTATAAATTAAATTGTTTTATTCCCCATGCAGTGTAGCGCCTGATAAATATTAAAGGAAAGCTAAGCCAGAAAATTAAAAATACAAGAGCACGTGCATTTAACATTTAATAAATAAATATCTCTTTTTTGATTTCGAGAAAGTTCCAGAAAATTCTCGCCTGCAATTTAAAATCTTATAAAAGGAGGAAAACCTCTCAGTAGTTGATTTTAGTTAGTTTGTTGTTGTTTTAAGAGTTTGTTGAGAAAACT